GGAAGCTTATTTGTATTTATATAAAATAATAGTTCTTATCTCTATCATAACACCTCCTCTGTGACAAGGACTAAGGAACTCCAGGTCTCTACAGTAGCAGGACAGCCCCGGCACCTGCTGACGCACTGTCACCCTTTGCATCTGGCCTCTCTTCCTCTTCTGAGGTAGCGCAGGCCCAGGCGGGTGTGACGAGGGACAGAAGAGATGGGGACGGCGTGGGGAGGGAACGGGGTTCCGTCCTCTCCTCCCCCTCCTCCTAGCACACATAATTGAGTCCTGAGTGGAATCATTTAGGTTGAGCCTCTAATTTCCCCTCCCCTGGACCCCAGCAGTGTCTGGCTCACAGTTTGAGAGCATGTTCCACTTCTGTGAGCACCTTTCTGCAGCAGGCACGGGGGAGCCACAGGAGGCTTGTGATCAGGGCAGCACACTGCAAGTCAGTGCGGGCACTCACAGCCCACTGGAAGTGGGGGGGGTGAGGGGCTTACGGCCGCCTGGGGCAGTGCCACCCGGGACTGCAGGGGCCAGCGCTATCCACAGCCCTGAGGACCTGAGGGAAGTGACCAGCCCATGTTCCCAGTAGGCACCATGTCCGTGGCCCACGGTACTTTAAGGGCCCACAAAAACATCTTAATTTATGTTGAAATCAGAGTAAGATTTTAGGCCTAAGAGAATGTCTTAATACAAAATATTAATATATTCATCTTTATACCAATATAGTCTTTTTATCCCCTTTTCTGCCCAACATGTAAGTCCAAAGAAAAACTTCCATGGTTGGGAGTGAGCCAACACAGTCTTAAATGATAATATTTTATATTTTTGCAGAGAAGAAGCCCCCACCAGGGCCACTTGGCCTGGGGAAGCATGAGGCAGAGGCCCAGTCGTGTGCAGGCCAGGCCTACAGGGGGCGCCAGAAGCACACCCGCATCCACATGGGGAGCGCGCCCTCTAGGGGGATGAGGGTGAATTCAGGCTGGGACCCTGAGAGGACCCTGGGGGACAGCCCAGGGCAGTGGCATTCATTGTCAAGGAGAAAGAAAGAGAGCCATTCTTTAAAACGACAGGGGCTGGGAAAGAAGGGATGGCTGGGCTGGGCTGAGCCTCAGCCTGGGTACCACCTGCCCTCCTCCCAGGAGTCACTGGGGGTGCCCTCACCCTCCTCCTGACCCGGCTCCCTCCCACCCCGGCTCCATCCTTCCCTGGCCCCACCTGAGACTTGAGCGGCTGTCCTGAGGGCCTTGGCAGGGTGACATTGCCAGTCTCTAGGCTGTGCCCCCAGGAGGAACTTTCTAGAACCCTGTGCAGGGAAACAGTTTCTAGCTTTGCCCTGGCCCTGGGGTCATGGCCCCAGGAGGGGTCTCCCACCCCTCCCCACAATATGACCCTGACACATCCTTGGGGGTAAAGGGGAGTGGGGGTTCTCCAGCTTCCAACAAGGGCATTTAGACCTACACTAAGACTTATGCTTTGTTTTTTTTTAAATTAAAGTTTTACATTCACATATTTTAAAGGATCAAATTATTCTGTAAGATTTTTTTTAAAAGTCTCAGACCCTCCCATTCTACCCCCATTTTCCTCTGTTGCTTCCCCGGAGACGATCAATTTAAATTCTTTTAGTTGCTTGTTTTGGTAATAACCTGTGTTACCTCTCTTTAAAAGGGCTTTCTTGAAATAATAATGGACACACCATGCAATTCACCCATTGAAGCTGTACAATTCAGTGGCTTTTTCACAGAGTTGTGCAGCCATCTCCACAGTCAATTTTAGAATATTTTCATTACCTTCCGAGAGAATCCCCCCACCTGACCACTGAGGTATTTCTGTCTCTATGGATTTGCCTATTTTGGATAATTCATATAAATGAGATAATACAATATGTGGCCCTTTGTGTCTGTCACCTCCTCCACAATAAACTTGCTCAGCTGTAGGCATTATCCAGGGCCCTACAGGAGGGAAGATGAAGGGTTAGGGCCCCTGCCCTCTCCACCCCACATAGGTCCCATGCCCCATCTCCCCACCAGAGTTACATTATTATCTTTCTGCTTTTACTAGTATTAGGAAGTATAGGTAAGCTCTGCTTAGTCATTAGTAAACCATAATTATTTTTCCTTTCCTATAGGATTTTTTTTTTTCCTTGTGGTCCTTTTTGTTTGGTTTTATTTTTCTTCTGTTTTCAATGTATTTATATCTAATTAAATCCAAACTCTGCCAGTGGCTTAAATCTCCTCCTAATTGCTCACATGCAAGGTATTCTTTCAATTTCATCTCTCCCGAGAACTCTCTCCTGAGGCCTTCCTGTCTGCTCAGGTGGGGGCTGCTTGTTCTCTGGCCCCAGTACTAGATGTCATCCTGAGACCACCCCGACTCTCTCATACACTAGGTCATCTTTTCCCCGTAGCCAAGGTCTTCCTCTTGGATATCACTTTCATTTCGGTGTGTCCCATCCACCTATAGCTCTCTGGAAAAGAGAACATGGGCAGTGATTTAAAAAGATCTTTGTTTGGAAGTGCCCTCATTCTACCTTCGAACTCGATATAGATTTCTAGGTTGGAAATTATTTTCCATCAAAACTGAGGAAAGCATCGCTCCATTGCCTCTAGTTTTCTGTGTGGTTGTAGTTTAAAGTGTTTTCATATCTGATCTTTTGTATATAATCTTTGTTAAAAGCGCCTACTATGCAGTTTGGCACATGGGAGATACTTCATAAATATTAGTTCTCTGACTCTCTCCTGTTCAAAGAATGAAAGTGAGAGTTCTGGGTCTGAGATAAGGCACCAAAGGAGATAAGGTTATTTTTCTTAATTGAAGATCTTGGTTGCAAGAGAAAACTACTCAAATTACCTTAAAGGAAAAAGAGGACATGAGGATGTACAAGGGTGGTTATGCAGCAAAAATACACTAACAGAAATTACCTAAAGATGAGGACATGGATGGCCATGACAAGGGGAAGATGAATCTGTATGTCTGAGCTTGGTGAAGTTCCATGTCTGCTGCTACAGAAGCCAGCTGAAATCAGTCATTTCTGAAAAATCACACCAGTAACTCCAAGCTTGGAGGGAAGGGGAGAGAGGTACACGCCACCCAGGGCCGTGACCTGGACCTTTCCACACAAACAGGGCTTTCCCGGCCACCTCTGTGCCCCTGAACACCAAAGACAGGAGAAACTTCTGGAATGTATCATTTGGGTATCTTTTGCTGGGTGGAAAGAGAAAAGAAATACTAAACACCTAGAGTTAAATATCGTGAGTTAGAAACAACCATAACACCACCAAAAAAACAACCCCTAGGATGTTTTAACACAGGAGAAAACAGGAAATATGAATCAGACTAGACCTATAGGGGAAAATGGAATTTCCTATGGCCAGGATCCTCACCTGACCCTAAACTACTTGATTATGTAATCGGCCAAGGCTAGGCTAAAGCTTCCACACCTGTGGGCAAGGAGCCGGTATGGACTGAGTCACTCACTATATAAGGAGCTCTGCTGGGTGCTCTGGGGAAGCTTAACACAGAGGTGGGTTCTGGTTCTGTGGACTGCTGGGTGCAGACGTGATTCTAGTGTTCCACCTACTGCTGAGAGAATAAAGCCGGGTATAAATCCTTTCACCCCCAGGAATGCTCATTTTCATTTCTCAGCCTCAGTGAATCCATAGTGAACTTGCCCGGGGCTGAAACCCTCAGGCAAGACAGGGGAGCGAGAGGAAGCTGAAGAGCCCTTCTCCACATCACGGGTTATAAACCCAAGGCCAAAAGGTTTGTGAAATAACTCTTTCCCCCTGGTCTGCTCTCTTGAGACACGGTGGGGGTGGGGATGGGGGTGCGACTGGGCGGGGGGAGGGAAGGACTGGACATGGCTTCTGAGGAGAGAGGGGTAGCACTGCCTGCAAGAAAGTGGGCAAGGCAGAGCCACACGAACGGAACTAACAGCAGCACCTGAAGGGGATGGACCATCCGGCCGCGCCGGGTGCTGAATCGCTATTTTTCCCCCCAGGCGGGCCAGGTGAAATTTCACAAGGAAGCTAAGACCCGGAGGCCTCCTGCTCTGCCTCCAGGACTGGGACCGGAGGACTGCGGGCGTTCTGTACTGGAAAGGCAGGTTCGTCTGCTGCGGTGCGGGAGCTCAGGGAGAGCCATGCAGTAAACCCATCCCAGACTGCGCAGGGCCCAGGTCAGCCTTCCTCCCCCACCTCCTGCCATGACCTTATGCTATAGAAACAGGCTTCAAACAACAGTTTGCAGTGGAACAGAAGCAGGTCTCAGGCCAGGGGGTGAGAGAGTCAAGAAAAAGAAAAACTCACTCCATGACCTTTGTGCTGAGGATTTGGACAGAGCCACCCATGCTGCCTACGAGCAATATGAAAAAAACTTAAAAGGTGATGTCGCATCTATGCACACGCATTACAGGGAAAAAGAGCAGAAGAATCCATTTGGAAAAGAGATAGCTTTTAAAAAAACGTACCATTTTAATTATTTCGTATTTAAAGAAATAATCTCAATAATGTGCGACCTCACATATAAGAAGGTAAAACAACAGAATTAAATAAAAGGGAGATGGCAGAACTAAGGAAACACATTGATTATCAGAACAACATAAATCTGAAGTAATAAATTAGAAAAATGGGGTGAAAAATGCAGCTGATAGGCAAACAGCTGCCATGACCTCACAAAAAGCAAAGCAAAAAAATAAGGATTACACAAGGTAAAATGTATTTACAGGATGCAAAAAAAAAACTAGTTGGTGACTGTGAACTAGAGAACCCAACAAAGGAAATATGTAATGTATTTAATGCTGTGAAAAAGATTTCCTAAAATGAAAGAAGAATGAATCCACAGCTTGAAAGGCATAGCTTGGAGAACTCACCCAGAATGGTTCCACACACGGGTATAATTTTTAGGGTGGGGGGCAGTTTTTATTTTGAAACAAATCCAGACATACAAAAATTTTTCAAGAACAAAAGACTCTTCTTTTTAATATTTTACCACATATTCTTGGACACATATCTGTTTATTCATTCATTAACTCACCTCATCTTTTTGATACATTTCAGAGTAAGTTGAAAGATACTTGTATCATTCATCCAAAATAATTTAAACTGCATATTATTAGAGTTCAGTATTTGCTTATATTGTCTGAAATAAAATGTACACACAGAGAAATCCTCGCATCTCTAGATACTATTTGATGAGTTTTGACAAATGCATGAAACTTTACCAAGATACAGAAATTTCCATCCCCCCAGAACCTTTGGTCAAGTCTCCGCTAAGCCCTGCCCCACCCCTCCTCTCCCCTGGAAAGGCAGAGGGGTGTAGCCCTAGGTGCCCTGAGCCCACAGACGGCACACACAGCGTGGCCTGGGGAGGGGCAGGCCGCTCTGGACAGACGCCCCCCATGCAGGGCTCAGGCTGCCGCCAGCTGCTGCAGGACCGACAGGGCCCCGTACATGGCAGACAGAGGCTGCTTGGCTTCCAGGTCCCAGGTGGACCAGGGCCTATTCAGCTTCACCTCCAGGCCGCACTCCTCCAGCAGGCCGCAGGTGATCACCACAGCCTTGCCCTGGAGGGGGGCCAGGAGCGCGGGCTTCAGGGTGAAGGGAAGGTTCCAGGTGTACTTGAAGTTGGGCTCCAGGATAGTCCGGACCTGGAAGAAACCGGTATCAGGTGGCACACGTCGGCTGTGAGGTCGGGAAGAGAAAAACCTTCTGTCCCTGGAGCCAGGGGCCATGCAGGGTCTCTGAGGGAGAAAGAGCCTTGGAGCTGAGGGGCTGAGAGTCATGTCCTGGGCGTGTCCTGTGATCAATGTGACCTTGAACATGTGGAACATCGGTTCCTCAGGTGCTGAACGGTGACACTAACATTTACTTTGCAGAATAGTGGTGCTTGGAATTAGATATGTGTGTGTATGTGTACATGTGTGTGCATGTAAGTATGTTTGCACACACATGCTCATATATATGATACATGGAGAGAAAGAGGGAGCAGTTTGCAAACAGAGCTGTGTAAATAAGCAGGAATATGGCCCATATGCCCTGAGCTCCCCAACCTGTATTCCTATGAAGCTATTTGAGAACGTGGGGGGGCCTCTGCAGGGGTTGCCCTGGACACTGAGACCCTCCAGAGGTCATGCAAGCCCATGGGGTCTGCTCCTCTGGGAGATGCAGCCTGACTTCCCAGAGGCCACCCGGGACGGTCCCCCTCCCAGCAGAGGCTCTCTCTGTGCTCAGATCGGTCTCCTCTGCTGGACCCTCACCCTCCTCCCCGGATGCTGGCCCCCGGGGGTTTCTCACCAGCTCCCGCTGATGCAGCAGGATCCCCTTCTCCATGGACTGGGCCAGCAGATCAAGTTGGGTGTCATTCAGCACTGGGGATGGGGTGCATTTGGGGAACGAGTGACGAAGAGTCAGATGTTCCTCTCCCCCTGGGAACTAGGGGACCCCGTGAGGAGGGAACTCTGAGGCAGAGGGAGAAGCCCACTAGGCTTGGGGCCGAGTGCCCAGCTCTGGGAAGTCCCCCTCCGGCTCCTGGGATGGCCTCCAGGGTGCCACATGACATGGTCAGAGGACGGGAGCCTGACTCTGGAGCCACAGGCTTCTGCTGGGTGAACCCCCACGGGTCACCTTCTAGACCTCGGGCTGCCTCTGTGTCACACGGCAAGTCCACCCACTGAGCCCTCCTGACCTCGGACAGAGGTGTGATGGGAGGAGGCAAAAACATAACGTTCGAAGCGCTGTGGAGAGGGGGCGTCTAATGCAGGGGACCTGGGGACCAACGTGTGCCCCTCCCATCCTTCTCCTACACCACTTACCGACTATGGCTTCAAGCAGGTAAAGGATGAGGTACTTTGTGTTACTCCATGAATACCCGGAATCCTCTTGCAGCTTATTTAGGATGGTGCCGCCAGGGCCGTTCAAATGACCCAAAGATTCCTGTTCAGGCTTTGGGAGACAGATGTTGTTGACAAGGACGATGGTGTGACACTGTCATGTGACTCTGCCTGTGAATTCTGTGTCTGTAAGTAGTTAACCAAGGGACGGAGGTGCCGGCTCTCTGCCTCCCCAGGGGACAGTAAGCACCCTCGGTATGTGGGGCTGCGCTCCTTGGCTCTGGTCAGTGGACAGAGGGCCAGAGCCCCACAGCTCAGATGTCCTCACTGCCCTGTGATCACCCCATTCTTCCTCCCCCCAGACGGTGGCAGCGTGTCTCCTGATCACTTCCCGTCCACCAGTGTGGTTAGCCTTGTAAGCTGAGGGAGCCTCTCACCGTGTGCACGAGGGCCTCCAGGGCCTCTCGGTCCCGGAGCATGTCCTGGACGCTAGAGAACACGACATCCTGAACATCTCTGGGGAGCCGGGCCGCAGCCTCCACTTTCTCAGAAACCTCTTCTTGGAGGCACCTGAAATCTGCTCTCAGGGGTTCATGCCAACCAGGAAATGGGGGCAGCGCTTACATCAGAACATTCCCGGGATGATCAGCCCTTTCCCATGAACCTGAGCAAAACTCCTTTGTCCCTTTAGCTGCTGACCACAGGCCTCCCTGTGGATGGCACTGTGAGCTCCAGGGAGGGAGCTGCCCCAGGGACAGGGAGAGGGGACGCAGGAAGCAGGGCTGGTGATTCGGAAGCGGTTTATGGGAAGTAGAAGGAATGAGCAGGGGCTTGTTTCTGGGACATGTCCTGAATAATGTGGCTGTAGCTTTGGACTCCTAGACAGGAGCATTTTAGGTGCTCTGGGCTAATTTCTGCATCTGTTGAATGAGGCTGTGGTGAGGATTATGTATGTGCAGTGCGTGGGGCAGGACCTGGCCCGAATGAGCCGCCCCCCCACAAGGCCATGGGGCCTGTACGTTCCAGGTCTGCACAGAATGAACTGAGGAGAGCATGTCAGGGACTCTCTGCTTCCCCCAGGAGACGTGAGGAGGCCTCCATGTGATCTGCTGAGCGGGAGAGGTCACGAGTGTGGAAGCTCCAGGCAGGCAGGCATTTCTGTGTGGTTCGTGTTTTGTTTATTTCGTGCTCAGAATAATGCCTGTTGCTCAATACTCCCCAGTAAATGGTTGTTGCATGCAAACACGAATGAATGAATGAATGAATGAATGAATGAGAGGGGCTGACCAAAGTGTCAATTAAGGGAGGTAAAGCTCAGTTTACTCAGTTGCCTGGAAACCTCTTATTCGGGTTCTCCGCTTGTAGTAGGCTGCCAAGAGGCCCTGGGTTCCCTTTTAGTAACCACTCACCTCGCCAGAAGGGTTCCTCTATTCTTCCTGAAAGAGAATCACATGTCATCATCTCTCTCCTTGCCCACACATTGGTTTCAGAGACACGCTGGTGGGTTCTGCCCTCCTACTGCCTCTCTCTCTTCCCCAACCCCTTCCTGCCCCATCCCAGTCCATCCCTCCACCTCCTGGCCTTCTGGACCCTCCTCACCACAGAAACTGGGGCCAGGCCCTAGGGCAGTGGTGGCAAGTCAAGAAGATCTGCCCTGCACACTGGTGTGTGCATGATGGGATCCTCAACCCCCCTTCAGTACCCCCTTGAGCACATACACTCACCTATTGGCAGGATGGTAGGATTTACAGGGCCTAGAAAACAAATCGGAGTCAGTGTCTGAAGCCACTCGGTGACTCTGACCTTCTGTCCCCTCCTTCCCTGACCCTCTCCTTTCCATCCACCCCCGTCCTTTGCCCAGGGTCCCAGACCCCAAGCCCTCAGGTAAGGACAGCAAAGGCAATCACACGGGGCTTTTGTTGTGCAGAGCAGCCTTGTGGGGGGAGATCAGACCCACTTTCAGCTCTAATATCACCCACTCACCTGGTGACAATAACACGTGCAGTTGCTCTGGAAAGAGAAACAGGTGCTGGCTCACAGGGACTCCCTCCACTCCCCTTCCCTGGGGTCCTTCCCCAGCCCTCTCCCTCCCCTTCCCAGCTCTCTCCTCCTCCCTTTTACTTCCCACCTCTTAGCAGACACAGTGCCTGGAGCCCTGGAGCCCTGGCAGGCCCCACACTGTGACCCATGTCAGTGTTCAAGGGAGAAAGGTGGCCTCCCCCATGGGCAGGGCCTCAACTGGAAGCTTTCCTGGCTGGGGAAGGTTTTCTGTGGGTTTTGGGGGCTGAGCCCCCTTTTATTAGCCTCCAAAGGGGGTCAGGGCTCAGGGGGCCTGAGGTCTCAGCAGAGAACCTACCCGGCTCTGAGACTCACCTTCTGGGAAGGTTCTCTGCTTGTCGTCATCTGAGATGTCTGCGATGGAGAAGAAGCCAGGTCAGGAGAGCCGAGTTTATTCCTGCTGGGGTCTTCACACCCCGCCTGCAGCCCTGGGACCCCTCCTCCAGGCCGGGGCGGGCGCTTCTCTGTGTGGCCTGGGGACCCTCCGTCAGAATCACCTGGATGCTTGCTGACACTCAGGGTCCCTGACCTCAGTCTCTGTTTGTGAATCAGGCTCTGAAAAGCACCCTGGGCTCTGCATTTAAGTCAGCACCTTGGGTGCTCATTATGCATCCGACACTAGAGAACCACCTTTAGGAGGTGATGGAAATTGGCCCCCTGCTCCTCCTCCGAGGATGGGGTCTTCCTGGTGGCCTGTGTGCTCCTCTCCTGTGTCCCCTTCTCCCTTGTCCACTCCCAGTCCTGCCATCCCCCTGGGGATTTCAAATTTCCTGTAAGAAATGCACTGAGATCTGAAAACTACCTAACAATAAGACTGAAGCGTTGGACAGGGGACAAGAGCCCACGAAGGAGACAGAACAGGAGGTGGACCCCGGCTGTGTCAGCCTGAGCTCTAGCCGGGACTCCACAGGGGGACAGGAGAGACCAGGGACTCCGAGCTGGTCGTGTTTCCAGGGCTCACTGCTCTACCCGGGTTTGCAGTGACAGGCTGGCATCGATTGCTCACCCACGTGGGGCCTGAACCCAAAGAGTGTGTGTGTGGGGACTGTTCATCTGAGGCTCGTGAGAGAGGGAGAGGTGCCCATGAAATCCTGCCTCGTGTGACTAGGGAGTCACGGCTACTGTCTGTAGCTGCTGTGAAGACACCTGGTGGGCTGAAACGGGGGTGATGGGCGACCTGCGAGGGCTCTGCCCCCACGCAGCTGAGCTGGTCGGATTGGTGGGGCCCTGCTGTATGGGGGTGGCTGGGATTCAGGCTGCACTTTGCCCTGCGCTAAGGACACCTCTGTGTTGGGCACCCCTTTTGACCAACCCTGCCCCCGTGTGGGAGACTGTCTCATATCTCTGTAACATTTCATTGGGGCCATGGGCAGAGGTAGCCGGCAGGGTGTGAGGGAGGGGAGTGTGTGCCCAGGACGCTGAGAAACGTGTCCCCTCCTCTCCATGGAGGGGCGTGGCGGCCACGGTCTCCTCTGCAGGCCCCTCTCCCCTCTGCCTCCTTCAGCCTCTGCTTACACCAGCCATTCCCCTTGAAAATGAGCAGCTTCCTCTTAGAGGCCATCACCGTGCCCTTTGGCAGGGTCAACGTCTTCTCTCTCACTCTGAGACCTTCTCCCACTGCTTCCCCCTGGGGAGAGAAACCAGGCAAAATGGTCATATATGCTGTGAGTTAGAACTCCGTTCAGGAGAGCCCATGTGCCGAGGAGCCAGCAGCCCCCTGCCCCCACCCTGCCTATTCCTGATCCCCATTTCCAGGAGCGGCCCACTCTCCTTCCTTTGTCCGGCATTTGCACTCGCAGTTCTCAGTTTCAGGGTTACACGGTTATGATTTGACTCTTCCCAGATATGAGTGTATCCGGTTACTTTCTGCTTTGAGGAGGAGGACTGCCTTTCCTCCTGCCTCCGAACCCTTCACTGCTCATCCTGCCTTCCTTTTAAAATGTTCACAGCATGGTGTGTAAGTCAGTATTCCCCATGCGCAGTAGGGGAACCTGCTCTCTCTTCCCGTCTTTCCTTTAGCAGTTAGTTAATGTCACGCCCCTGTTCCCTCTCCGCCTCCCACTCATCCTTCCAGGGGATGTGGGAATACATTTTTGGACACCATGCATTCCTAAAACATCTTTACTTTACTCTCACACTCAATCATTATTTTGACTGGACATTGTTTTCTAAGCTGAAATTCCTTGGAATAGGACTTATTTTTCCCCTTTTTTGAAATAGTCATAGTTTTCTTTTTGAAGCAAGTGTCCTGATTGTTTGCACCTGTGTTCTGCAGTGGGGGATGGACCCATTAAACTGTGCCTTCTGGGGGTCCTTTCCTCTGGAAGTGTCCTGCAGGTCTCTTCTTTTCTTGGGTTATTTTCTGGATGATTTTTCCCAATATTTTTTTGTGTGTCTCTGTTCTCTCTTTTTGGAACTCCTCTATTATTCAGATGTTGGATTTTCTAGATAAATACTCTACATTTAAAAATGAATATTCTCCTGACTTTTTTTTGAAAAATTTCTGTGTTGCCGTTTTTTTCTTCTGACTCTTCTATTTAAAAATTTTTTTGGTCTTTGGGTTTCCAGTCTAGTATGTAAGGTGCCTGGAAAATGTCACTCTGTCCTAACAACAAATTGAGAAGCTGAACAAACCTTACTGAGTATATTAGTCTGGGTTCTCCAGAAAAACAAAACTGATAGGCTTTCCATGTGTCTGTCCCTCTGCAGGGATTTATTATAGGAAATTGAGTCATGCAGTTATGGAGGCTGAAAAGTCTCAAGACGTGCAGCCGTGCAGTTGAAGACCCAAGAGAGCTAATGGTAGAGTTCATGTCTGAATCCAAAGGCCTAAGACCCAGCAGAGCCAGTATCTAAGTTATAGCACAAGTCTGAGCCCCATGGCAGGAGAATAGTGATGTCCCAGGTCAAAGCCAGGCAGAGAGAGTGACGCCCATCTTCATTCGCCTTTGGTTTCCTTCAGGCCTGCAGTGGATTGGATGAGGCCCACCCAACACTGGGGAGGGCAATCTGCTTTACACATTGTATTTTAGGAGTCCTGATTGACTGTGAATACATATTATCATGATCTTTTATGCAGATGTTGTTATTCTAACTTTATGGGTGAGGGAACCATACCTCAGGAACGTGAAGAATGGCTTCAGGCAGCCTAATGAGTAATGGGCTCCTCCAGAATTCAACCCTACTCTGATTCACCAGCACATCCCTTGTCATCAAATGTCACCTGACAGAGTCCAGGGCACACCAACAGCCTGGGAAGCTCAGAGGCGCCAAAATATACACAGAACCAAAGCAAAACAGAGGCAGCCATGAACCAGGGGTTCTGACTTTTAATGACGGATTAACCACGTCACAGCCTAGCAGCTGGCATTTACTACTATGCTGGCTGTGAGTGGCTGGGGTGGACCCCTGGACACACAGCTGAGTGGTCACCTGACATGAAAGCACAGGGTCTTTTCCTGCCTCATGAAACCTGGTCCACCACTCCAAGCAGATCGAAAAACCAAGGCTGAACCAGAGAGCCTCTAAACCAGAGTAGCATTTTATTTGTTTCAAATGTCTTTGTCCACTGGACTTGGAATCCCACCACCTGCATGGCACCTTGGCCTCTAGAGCTAATTAATAGCCCTTGGGAAAATTAGTTCACATCTCAGTTTTTTTGTGTGTCTTTAAATATTTTTTTAGTTCTTAGGTATCTTAAGTGAGGACAAATTACACATAAAGTATATTGTGTGTAACAGCCTATTTCAACACAAAATCTTTAGATGTCCCTAGTTTACAGCTTGTGCTGAAAAATATATGATCAGTTCATTTGTTTAAATCAATTCAAAAGTTACAGTTGGTAATTGTGAGTGCGTTTTGTACATCATATGTGCTTGAAGATATTTCAGTCTCAATCCATGAATTTTCAGCTCAGGGTCTCCTAGTATTTAGGGTACTTTAAACACAGAGGTTTGCTTTAGTGGTCCTTAAAATACTAAAATGAGCATATTAAAATATACTGTCAGGTCAGGAGTCAGGGTTGTTGGGGATATGAGAAGCAGGGAATAAGGATCCCATTCATCTGAACCCCTGAAGACAGGTCCTAATAGGATGCGGAAGAGCTGGGGAGCAAGGCTGGGCTGGTTCCTGGTGTCCCCATCCTACTTCAGGACCGTCTTCCCAGTTCTGTACCTTGACAAGAGTATTCCAAGGGATAAAGCATCTCCCCAAAATGTTCACAAGGCTGCTGTCACGTAGCACAGCACTGTTGACCGGTTCCACTGGCTCTGTCACCACATACAGTTGTCCCCTCTGCTCTTGCACTCCACCAGGAAAAACAGCTCTTGATCCAATGCTTTCCTGGGGATAGGTGGGAAGAGAAGGTCAGAGTGGGAATCGATACCTCCCCAGGTTACTCTGGGTCACTCTCCTCAGAACCTGGAAGGGGTGCAGACTTTGGACTTTGCCAGGTGAGCCCTCAATGGGTAGGAAGATGCTGGCTTATGAGGTCAAGTTACACAGGGCAGTAGAACACCTTCTCTCGCGTGCACAGTGCACGGACCCCCATTCTCTACGGGCGTGTGGACATGAGAGTGCGCATACCAGAGTGTTAAGGGCATCTGTACTTTCTAAAATTATGTTGGTCTTGTTAGGGGCTAGTTCATACATTTCCAGCACCAGGGCTTTGCACCAGAAGAGGCTAGAAGTGGACACATGCGGGTGGTCGAGAAGCAGTGCTTAGGAAACCCTGTTGTCAAAACTGGGTACCCACCCTGAACATGTAGGGTGGGTTATGGGGCAGATGAACACAGTGTGGTGAAGCAGGCAGGATTTTGGTTGCTTCTAAGCACAGGTGGGCCTTTATGGACTGACTGTCCTTAGTAGGTAGGCCAGAAGGTGTAACCTAAAGATATAGATTTAGGGGAGAGGTGAGAGGTTCAAAGTACTAAAGACAGATTTCATCTCCTTTTCAGTTCTGAGGTTCAACCCTGATTTTGCTCAAGGCATCACTGGGGTGGGCACCCTGCATAACAGCCATGTGGAATGCTGAGATCCTTCATTGGCTTTTCAGTGGAGGAGATCACTGAACAGCCAGTGCTGGGCTTTCCCACTGCCCTTGGAGAAAAATTCAAGCCCCTTCCTGTGTCTCTAAGATGCTATGTCAACTTACCTTTTAAGCTTCTCTTAAATTGCCTTTGTCCTGGTGGACTAAGGGTCAGACTTACTGACTTCCCTCTAGTCTTAAAAACAGCCAGCTCTGTCCTGCCCCAGGACCTTTAAACCTACATGTGGCCTGCTTTCCTCCTGCTCGTGTTTCTTTCATTGGTTGGGTCTGAGCTCAGCTGTCAGCTGCACAGAGAGACCCGCTAGTCTCCACCTCGCCCTACCCCTGCCTTTGGAGCTCACACCAAGATCTGTAACTGCCCTTGTAGCTGAAACGCATGCCCCACAGCCTGTTTAGTAAAAATACCTAACTGCCTTTTCTTTTCCATCTTTAAAGGTTTGACCTCAGGCTTACTTAATTTACTGGGAGATAGCAAATAGTATTTATCCTAGAAATTGCCTCTTTAATTACTGAAAGAAATTTCTAGAAGAAAAATGATTTTTTTTTCTTTCTGAGCAGCTGTGGAAACCCAGATACTCTTGCACCATACATAGTCCTTTCCAATGTTATTTCTAATGAGAGCCTTGCAAGAAACCAGGAATATAAAAATGTGCAATGCCCCATCAAAGGAACTTCTGGTCCTAAACAGTCTGATTTTAACTAGTTGCTTACTTATCACTATGTTATCTTCATAAAAATACTATTTAACTTGGCATCTCTATTTTTCAAAGGTGCAAAGACTTAACAAGTCCATTGTTAAGCGCTGAGAGATTCATTTGATATCCACCTTTGCCCATGTGCATGGAGGTAAATTCAATCCCAGGGTACCACTGCATACTTAATTTAAACAGAGTTTCAGAGTCTTTGTCCCATTTGAATCAATATTTTGTTAATTTATTTTTTATTGCCTGTTCCTCACTCCCTGACCACCACCTGTCCACACTAAATAGAAGTGGCTTTAGGCCAAGATTTTTGACTGTCCTATCGTTGTTCTATCCCCAGCACATAATAGCAGATTATGGTTAATTACTGTTTTACTAAATACATGTTAAATAATATCTATTAGTTGAATGAATGAATGGCTATCTGAGAAGAGCAACATAATCTGGGGTGCCATTTTCTTCACTCTGAACCTCAGCAGCAAAGCCTGCTGGGTGCCTCTGCCCACGAGGACAGTCCCCTGGGGCTGTGGATCGGTTCCTTCCTCTCCCAGGGCCTTACCTCTTCTGCAGGTCTTCCCAGTTGTGAAGCGGGATGGTAACAACCTGAAACTCTAGGGAAGATCCGTGGGACCCACTAGCTTC